GAGACACAGTCTCACAGCAAAGTCCCCAGTCCTCCGACTCTGCCGGTTTTCCGGCTTCCTTTTCTACAAGGTCCTGTGACTTTTAGATGGGGGAGCGTTTTGTGATACAAACATCTCTGCATACTGATCAGTTGTGGTTTTCTGTGGTTGTCTCTGTCGGTTGCAAAGAGCAGATTACTTGATGAAGTGTGAGGACTACATTTACCTGTGGGTATAAGGATATCTTTAACTTTAATTTTTTGATAATTTCATACATAAGTGCAATGTATTTTGATCATATTATTCCTCCTTCCCTTCTCTTAAGTTTGCCCCTAAATTTCCTAGTGAAATTCATGGTCTATAATTTTTTAACTATTATTGTTATGTAAATATATTATATACTTAATATATTAGTGTTGCCTGTCTGAACAGGAATATTAAGCTGTTTGTGATTTTAATTTGAGGTATTTCATTTTGTTAATTAATTTTATTCATAGGTATGTTTTGGGTTTCTTAGTAAAACTTACTGGTGTATAGGAAACCTAATAATCTTTGTATCCTAAACTTACAAATTACTGAATCAATCAATTCTAACAGTCTCTTGGTGAAGTCAAGGTTTGTCCAGTATGTAGAGTCTCACTATCTGCAAACAGTGATCATGTGACTGCCCGCCTTCTTATTCATATCCCTTTTGTTTTTTAAAAATGCTTTCTTTACTTCACTTTCCCCCTTCTATATGACTTCATTTTTGTTTCAGTTAGTCATACACAGTCCTTTAAGTCTACTTTTACATTTTATTTTTAATTGCAATTTTTGTACAATATATTTTGATCATCTTTCCCCTTTCCCAATTCTTCCCAGATTCCCCACCTCCTTATCCACCCAACTCAGTATCGTCTCTCTCTCTTTTGAAAAAGGAAGAAACAAAAATGAAAGCAAAACAAGAATCAAAACCAGAAAAATAACAAATAAAAGGATACAGTCAAAAGACAAATAAAAATGTCCAAACAAATAAAAATAAAAAAAGTCCACAAAAATACCATCGAGTTCATTTCCTGCTGGCCAACGACTCCTAGACTTGAGGCCTGCCTTGGAGTCTAGTTGATAGACCAAGTGACACTCCACTGGAGAAATCGGATTTTCCCTTTATCAGTGATTATCAGTTCCAGATAGTGTCTTGGTTTATAGGCGGCTTGATCTGTGCAGGTCTTACGTGTGCTGCTTCAGTCTCTGTGAATTCATGTGTACACCAGCCAAGTCGTATATGGAAGACACTGTTTCTCTGGAGTCATTTACCACTCACGCTCTTCCTGCTTCCTTTTCTACAGAGATCCCTGAGCCTTGAGGGGAGGGATTTGACCCAATTTAGGACTGAGGGCTCCATAGTCTCTCACTCTCTGCACATTGTCCAGTTGTGAGTCTCTGGATTAGTGGCCATATACTGCAAGATGTTTCGTTTATGTGGGTTGAGTGAGGCAGTGATCTAAATAGCATTATGTCATTAGGAGTAATTTTACTGCTATGTTCTTTTATCAGAATAATAGTATTAAGTTTTCCCTTAGTTCTAAAACCTATCTAGTCTTCATCCAGTCAATCTCAATATTTTACCAGTGTCAGGTATGGGTTCCATCTCATGGATGGTCCTTAAATCCAATCAAAGAAGTGGTTGAGTCACAACTACATTAGTTTGTCTTGCAGTCATTTTAGTTGTAGGTCATAGTCTAAAGCAAGTGATTTTGATGCCTACCTTTCTCCTCTGGTTGTGTGTAGAGAAACTTGCAGGAGCATGAACACTATAATGGTGCTTCTAGTTAGGCACCTACTCAACTTTTCCATATTCAATCAGGTTTTTCATGTTTAATGAGATATTTAAGTGTTGTCTTCAGCAGTCGGACCTGATCATCAAATTGTAGTGAGCAACCAATAGCCTTGACAATAGCTGTGATGTTTGGGAAGCCTCAGTGAGCCCTTTTGGCCAATGACTCAACAAACTGTAAACTATTGCCAGCACTGGAGGTTTTACTTGGTGGATTAATATGTCTAGTTGGAGCAATGTCTCCTCCATTATTTGGTGACTTCATTTATATTTCTTTCATATATGTATACATTTAGCTAACACCCATAGATCTGTGGGATCTGGGTTACCTCAGGATGATTATTTTTCTAGCTCCATCTATTTGTCTGCAAATTTCATTTTTTGGATTTTTTTGTGTTTTTTTTTTTTGTGTGTGTGTGTTTTGAGACAGGGTTTCTCTGTAGCTTTGGAGCCTGTCCTGGCACTAGCTTTTGTAGACCAAGCTGGCTTCAAACTCACAGACATCTGCCTGCCTTTGCCTCCTGAGTTCTGGGATTAAAGGTGTGTGCCACCACTTCCTGGCACAAATTTCATTTTTTAAACACATGAATAATATTCCTTTGTGTAAATGTATATATTTTCACTATACATTCATTAGTTGATGGACATTTAGGCTATTTCTAGCCTTTAGCTATCATGAATAGAGCAGGAGTGAACATGGATGAACAAGCATCTCTGTAGTAAGATGTCAAATCTTCAGGCATATGCCCAAGAGTTGTATAGCAGTATCTTGAGGTAGATCAATTCCCAGTGTCCTGAAGAACCAGCACACTGATTTCCATAGTCGCAGCACCAGTTTGCATATTGACCCCATGGAGAATCTACCCTCTCTGAGGAGTGGATGGGGGGTGGCATGGGGGGGGGAAGGTGGAAGGAGTGGGAACTGGAATGGATATGTATTATTAAAAATAAATTAGTTGAAAAAATAATTCCATGGCTCATTTCTTCATGGATTTTATCATGAAGGATTTTGTATTTTTTTAATGTTTTTTCTTCATTCATTGGATTGATCAGATAGCCTTTTATATTTCATTGTGTTTGTGTGTTATGTTATACTATAAATTGTGTGGATTTTAGTTTATTATCTAAGTAAAACTCTGTGAGTGTTGTGAAATAGGTAGGAATGCCCACATCCATAGTGGTATAGTTTGCTAGTAATCTCGCTCTTACCCTGCAAATGTTACAACCTACATGTGACTGCAGAATACCCCTCCCCCGGAGTAGTGGAGCTATGGGTGGTGGATGCCAGAGCCTGTGGTTCCTCCCAGGTCTATGATTCTTACAATGGTCCACTCTCACTTCCTAGTTCCAGTATTCTCCCATGGCCATTCATCTCAGAATATAGCTACATCCATAGTCGTTGCATGGAGAGCAGGGGGCCTTTGTTTGACCCAGCTGCCTGGCTAGCTTACACCCGGAATAATCACACAGAAACTGTATTCATTTAAATACTGCCTGGCCCATTAGATCTAACTTCTTATTGGCTAATTCTTACATCTTAACTTAACCCATTTCTATTAATCTGTGTATTGCTATGTGACTGTGGCTTACCAGCAAAATTCTAATCAGTATCCATCTCAGGCAGGAGATCCATGGTGTCTGCCACTCTGCCCTTCTTCCCAGCATTCAGTTCTTTCTATTCCACCTACCCAAATCTGTCCTATCAACTAGGCCAAGGCAGTTTTTTTAATTCATTACTCAATGAAAGCAACACACAGACAGAAGGATCTCCTACACCAGTGGTTCATCCTTACAGAAGAGGGTATGGATGGCATGGTGCCCTCATCCTCTATTCTGAAATGTCAGGGTTAGTGGTTTATATGCTCACCCAGGAATTTCTCTTTAGTTTGAATTCCACTAGGAAGGCCAAGAAAAACAGTTTAAATTAGAGACAAAGAGGAGTAGAATGTAAAATTCTATTTAGAAAATTGTTACTCTTTTACTAAATGTGCTTTGGTTGGCCTTTTCTTTGAACTGCAAACTTGGTAAAAAAAAAAATTAAAGCTCTTAACTAGTTTTGACATTCTGGAAATTATCATTGAAACAACAGTTGTAGTAAACTTTATGCTGAAGTTAATATATTATATAGATTTTTTCTGTTCCCTCTTTTCTTTACAGTTCATAACAAATTCATGAGTTTTTTCCTTTTAGTCAAGAACATATTAATACTTTTATTCTATAGGAAATGTAGGGGGTTCCTTAATTTTCACTGGCATGGATATTTCCATTCATGTATTTGATAGAGGAAGTCTATAACACATAAATCTCATTCCCATAGCTTGGATTATATTAGGAAATGGCCATTTGGAATTATATTTATTCTTTTCTGTGTTGATAATAATTAATAAAATAATTTCCAGTCAATTCAACATAGAGTCTTTCTGTAAATGATTTGAACAGTAATTGAACAGAGGAAAGGATTAGATGTGGTTGATATTTTTCCTTCTTTTGACTCTGCATTGTTAGCATCTGAGTATTTACTTCTACTAGTTGCACAGAGGTAAAGGGAAATGTACATCTGACCCCTTGGCAGGGAATTATGTTTGTAGAGATAAAAAAGAGAAACTATATTCAGATGAAAAGTTTATTGTCAAATTCCAATTCAATACAATGTTCTGATTCTTCTGTCTAGGAAATCATGACAATAAATTCAATAGTAATACAGAGCTCCAGAGGTAACATAAAAGATAAAAATATTCACAATCTCCACCCAGGAAACAATCAAATTCTTAGTTCAGGATATGGAGTGTGTGAGAATATTACTAGAAAATTGTGACTCCTAAACTACATCCTGTGCTTCCTGGATAAGTTTAATCAAAAATTAAAACAACATGTGGAAAACCCCAATGGTTTTCTCATAGAAGTTCTAAATATTCATCTTGATTTCCCCAACCAAAACCATACATCTTTAATCTTGTACCTCTGAATATAGTTCCAATACATTTTAATTGACTATCTTCTGTCCAAGAAGCTCAGTGTCTATGGAGTCCTACAAAAAGATCTTGCACCAAAACAACATTACAATAGTAATACAGTTAATATGAAAGGTTAAACCACCTACTGGCAAAATAAGGAATCATATTAAATGTGTGATTGTCTTACTATGCATCTACTTTCTTCTTTGGTTTAATTTTTATCTTGTTTTATCGTATTTTTTACTCTCTTCTCAATAAAAATAGTGGTATTTTTGTTCTTGGACATATGTGTATAGTGGAGTGTTGCTATCTATGTAGGCAGAAGCTGAATTCATTTCCCCCTTTTCATGGTAACCTCTGGATTCAGTGTCCCTTGTCTCTTGGTCATCTACATATTGACTATATATTCTGATAGTCCCTGATGAATCAGATCCTGGCTCCTGTCCTTGTTTCCCCTCACCTGATGAGGTTGCACATGGTAAATAGTTACACTCTTCAGTTCCCATACGGGATAGGCTCTGAAGAGAGCTGTTGAGAGAAGATCTTTGATTTCTATTTCTACTGTCACTTGACAGCTGGTAGATATCATTTGATTGGCCATGGTTATATACTTGACTTTTATTAGTGCTGAATCCAGATTGATTTCCAATTGAACTGGATTCCGAATTGTCCTGAAATAATATATATTGACTATGGCCAAAACCAGATTGGTCAACTGGCTGGTTTGGAGTAGTTTCTTGTTTTTCTTTCAGACTGTACCTGTACTTAAAATCACAGTCATTCAAATGCTCAGGTGTTACTCCAGAATGGCCAAGACTAGAGACTAGAGTTCCACCTGTACTAGATCCAGTCAGATTGTAGTGATCAACTGGTTGCCCATGATCTGTATCTGCTTCTCTATATTTTAACACCAGCTCTCCCATTCCTTCATTTGCTTTGGATCCTAGATGGTGAGAAAGAGAGAAAGACTGTCCATATCTTGACACTTGTGTGTGTGTAGGTCTATGCGATGACCTCAAAGGACTAGAATTGCGACTGCTAGTTCTGCTGCCTTCAGAAGGTCCATATCCTGATTGTCCATAGTCATAATCTTCACGGCCATAGCTGCCATGTCTCCAACGTTGACTAGAACTATATTGGTTGCCAGTACTATGTGACCTATAATGCCTTGTATCAGACTGGACATGTGCGTTGCTTGATTGTTTGCTTAGACGGTCCCTTGACTGCCAGTGAGTACTATCTGTTGCAGTATGACTATAACCCGACTCTCCATGTTGTGATTTAGGGTCTCTATGGGACTGAAGCCCAACATGGCCCTTAGTGGATCCTGAGTATCTCCTTGATACCACTGAGTGTTCCTCATGCTCACTGGAATCACTGCGCACAGGTGACTCCCTAGGACTTCTCCCAAACCTTGATTCTGAGGCTTCAGCATGGCCAGACTGAGGTTGTCTACTACTGTCCCTAGATTGCCTTTGAGAACCCCTCTGGCTTCTGTGAACTGTGGGCCCAGAAACTCCATGCTGAAGTCCACCCTGACCCTTAGTGGATCCTGAGTATCTCCTAGAAACTACTGTGTTTTCCTCACCTTCACTGGACTCAGAGTGAACAGGTGTCCCTCCTGCACCTTTTGTACTTCCTGAATGTGAGGTCTCTTCATGACCAGACTGAGACTGTCTACTGCTGTCCCTAGATTGTCTTTGAGGTCCTCCCTGACTTCCATGACCTGCTGACCCCGATTCTCCATGCTGATAGCCACCAAGACCCTGAGAAGATTCTGAGTGTCTCCTTGAAACAACTGAGTGTTCCTCACCTTCACTGGACTCAGGTTGAACAGGTGTCCCTCTTGGACCTTTTGTAGCTCCTGAATGTGAGGGCTGCACATGCCCAGACTGAGAGTGTCTACTGCTGTCCCTAGATTGTCTTTGAGGACCTCCCTGGCTTCCATGACCTGCTGGCCTCGATTCTCCATGCTGGTGTCCACCATGACCTTGGGGAAATTCTGAATGTCTTCTTGAAACTACTGAGTGTTGTTCACTATCACTGGACTCTGGGTGAACTGGTGCCCCTCTGGGTCTTCTCTGAGAGCCACCATGTGATGGCTGCTCATGCCCAGACTGAGGCTCTCTACTACTGTCCCTAGATTGTCTTTGAGGACCTCTCTGACTTCCATGACCTGCTGACCCTGATTCTCCATGCTGATGTCCACTATGACCCTGAGAAGATTCTGAGTATCTCCTTGAAACAACTGAGTGTTCCTCACCTTCACTGGACTCGGGGTGAACAGGTGTCTCTCTTGGACCTTTTGTAGCTCCTGAATGTGAGGGCTGCACATGTCCAGACTGAGACTGTCTACTACTGTCCCTAGACTGTCTTTGAGGACCCCCCTGCCTTCCATGACCTGCTGACCTTGATTCTCCATGCTGATGGCTACCATGACCCTGAGAAGATTCTGAATGTCTCCTAGAAACTACTGAGTGTTCCTCACCTCTACTAGACTCTGGGTGAACAGGTGCCCCTCTGGGTCTTCTCTGAGAGGCACCATGTGATGGCTGCTCATGCCCAGACTGAGGCTCTCTACTGCTGTCCCTAGATTGTCTTTGAGGACCCCCCTGGCTTTCATGACCTGCTGACCCCGATTCTCCATGCTGGTGTCCACCATGACCCTGAGAAGATCCTGAGTGTCTTCTTGAAACTACTGAGTGTTCCTCACCTTCACTGGACTCAGAGTGAACTGGTGCCCCTCTTGATCTTCTTGAAGGCCATGAATGTGAGGTCTGTGCATGTCCAGACTGAGATTGTCTACTGCTCTCCCTAGATTGTCCTTGGGGACCTCCTTGGCTTCCATGGCCTGCTGATCCTGACTCTCCATGCTGATGTCTCCCATGACCCTGTGGAGATCCTGAGCTTCTTTCTGAAACTACAGAATGTTCTTCATCTTCACTGGACTCAGGGTGAACTGGCACCCTTCTGGGTCTTCTCTGAGAGGCACCATGTGATGGCTGCTCATGACCAGAGTGAGGCTCTCTACTACTGTCCCTAGATTGTCTTTGAGGACCCCCCTGGCTTCCGTAGCCAGCTGACCCTGACTCTCCATGCTGATGTCCACTATGACCCTTAGAAGATCCTGAGTGTCTCCTAGAAACTACTGAGTGTTCCTCACCTCTACTAGACTCTGGGTGAACTGGTGTCTGTCTTGGTCTTCTCTGAGAGCCGCCATGTGATGGCTGCTCATGCCCAGACTGAGGCTCTCTACTGCTGTCCCTAGATTGTCTTTGAGTAGTGCCTCCCTGGCTTCCATGGCCTGCTGACCCCGATTCTCCATGCTGGTGTCCACTATGACCCTGAGAAGATTCTGAGTCTCTCCTTGAAACTACTGAGTGTTCCTCACCTTCACTGGACTCAGGGTGAACTGGTCTCCCTCTGGGTTTTCTCTGAGAGCCACCATGTGAGGTCTGTTCATGCCCAGACTGAGACTGTCTACTGCTGTCCCTAGATTGTCTTTGAGGTCTTCCCTGACTTCCATGGCCTGCTGACCCTGATTCTCCATGCTGATGTCCACCATGACCCTGTGGAGATCCTGAACTTCTTTCTGAAACTACAGAATGTTCTTCACCTTCACTGGACTCAGGGTGAACTGGTCTCCCTCTGGGTCTTCTCTGAGAGGCACCATGTGATGGCTGCTCATGCCCAGACTGAGGCTCTCTACTGCTGTCCCTAGATTGTCTTTGAGGACCCTCCTGGCTTCCATGACCTGCTGCCCCTGACTCTCCATGCTGATGTCCACTATGACCCTGAGAAGATCCTGAGTGTCTCCTAGAAACTACTGAGTGTTCCTCACCTCTACTAGACTCTGGGTGAACTGGTGTCTGTCTTGGTCTTCTCTGAGAGGCACCATGTGATGGCTGCTCATGCCCAGACTGAGGCTCTCTACTGCTGTCCCTAGATTGTCTTTGAGGACCCCCCTGGCTTCCATGACCTGCTGACCCCGATTCTCCATGCTGGTGTCCACCATGACCCTGAGGAGATCCTGAGTGTCTCCTTGAAACTACTGAGTGTTCCTCACCTTCACTGGACTCAGAATGCACTGGTGCCCCTCTTGGTCTTCTTGAAGGCCATGAATGTGATGGCTGCTCATGCCCAGACTGAGACTGTCTACTGCTCTCCCTAGATTGTCCTTGGGGACCTCCTTGGCTTCCATGGCCTGCTGATCCTGACTCTCCATGCTGATGTCTCCCATGACCCTGTGGAGATCCGGAGCTTCTTTCTGAAACTACAGAATGTTCTTCACCTTCACTGGACTCAGGGTGAACTGGTCTCCCTCTGGGTCTTTTCTGAGAGCCACCATGTGATGGCTGCTCATGCCCAGACTGAGGCTCTCTACTGCTGTCCCTAGATTGTCTTTGAGGACCCCCCTGGCTTCCATAACCTGCTGCCCCTGACTCTCCATGCTGATGTCCACTATGACCCTGAGATGATTCTGAGTGTCTCCTAGAAACTACAGAGTGTTCCTCACCTCTACTAGACTCGGGGTGAACAGGTGTCTGTCTTGGTCTTCTTGAAGGCCCTGAATGTGAGGGCTGCTCATGCCCAGACTGAGGTTCTCTACTACTGTCCCTAGATTGTCTTTGAGGTCCTCCCTGGCTTCCATGGCCTGGTGACCCTGATTCTCCATGCTGATGTCTACCATGACCCTGTGGCGATTCTGAATGTCTCCTTGAAACTACTGAGTGTTGTTGACTATCACTGGACTCAGGGTGAACTGGTGCCCTTCTGGGTCTTCTCTGAGAGCCGCCATGTGATGGCTGCTCATGCCCAGACTGAGGCTCTCTACTGCTGTCCCTAGATTGTCTTTGAGGACCCCCCTGGCTTCCATGACCTGCTGTCCCTGATTCTCCATGCTGGTGTCCACCATGACCCTGAGAAGATTCTGAATGTCTCCTAGAAACTACTGAGTGTTCCGCACCTTCACTGGACTCGGGGTGAACAGGTGTCTGTCTTGGTCTTCTTGAAGGCCATGAATGTGAGGTCTGTTCATGTCCAGACTGAGATTGTCTACTGCTGTCCCTAGATTGTCCTTGGGGACCTCCTTGGCTTCCATGGCCTACTGATCCTGATTCTCCATGCTGATGTCCACCATGACCCTGTGGAGATCCTGAACTTCTTTCTGAAACTACAGAATGTTCTTCACCTTCACTGGACTCAGGGTGAACTGGTCTCCCTCTGGGTCTTCTCTGAGAGGCACCATGTGATGGCTGCTCATGACCAGACTGAGGCTCTCTACTGCTGTCCCTAGATTGTCTTTGAGGACCCCCCTGGCTTCCATGACCTGCTGCCCCTGACTCTCCATGCTGATGTCCACTATGACCCTGAGAAGATCCTGAGTGTCTCCTAGAAACTTCTGAGTGTTCCTCACCTCTACTAGACTCTGGGTGAACTGGTGTCTGTCTTGGTCTTCTCTGAGAGCCGCCATGTGATGGCTGTTCATGCCCAGACTGAGGCTCTCTACTGCTGTCCCTCGATTGTCTTTGAGGACCTCCCTGGCTTCCATGACCTGCTGCCCCTGACTCTCCATGCTGATGTCCACTATGACCCTGAGAAGATCCTGAGTGTCTCCTAGAAACTACTGAGTGTTCCTCACCTCTACTAGACTCTGGGTGAACTGGTGTCTGTCTTGGTCTTCTCTGAGAGCCGCCATGTGATGGCTGTTCATGCCCAGACTGAGGCTCTCTACTGCTGTCCCTCGATTGTCTTTGAGGACCCCCCTGGCTTCCATGACCTGCTGACCCCGATTCTCCATGCTGATGTCCACCATGACCCTGTGGAGATCCTGAACTTCTTTCTGAAACTACAGAATGTTCTTCACCTTCACTGGACTCAGGGTGAACTGGTCTCCCTCTGGGTCTTCTCTGAGAGGCACCATGTGATGGCTGCTCATGCCCAGACTGAGGCTCTCTACTGCTGTCCCTAGATTGTCTTTGAGGACCTCCCTGGCTTCCATGACCTGCTGCCCCTGACTCTCCATGCTGATGTCCACTATGACCCTGAGAAGATCCTGAGTGTCTCCTAGAAACTACTGAGTGTTCCTCACCTCTACTAGACTCTGGGTGAACTGGTGTCTGTCTTGGTCTTCTCTGAGAGCCGCCATGTGATGGCTGTTCATGCCCAGACTGAGGCTCTCTACTGCTGTCCCTCGATTGTCTTTGAGGACCCCCCTGGCTTCCATGACCTGCTGACCCCGATTCTCCATGCTGGTGTCCACCATGGCCCTGAGGAGATCCTGAGTGTCTCCTTGAAACTACTGAGTGTTCCTCACCTTCACTGGACTCAGAGTGAACTGGTGCCCCTCTTGGTCTTCTTGAAGGACCTGAATGTGAAGGCTGCTCATGCCCAGACTGAGGCTCTCTACTACTGTCCCTAGATTGTCTTTGAGGACCCCCCTGGCTTCCATGGCCTGCTGATCCTGACTCTCCATGCTGATGTCCACTATGACCCTGAGAAGATTCTGAGTGTCTCCTAGAAACTACTGAGTGTTCCTCACCTCTACTAGACTCGGGATGAACAGGTGTCTGTCTTGGTCTTCTTGAAGGCCCTGAATGTGAGGGCTGCTCATGCCCAGACTGAGACTGTCTACTGCTGTCCCTAGATTGTCTTTGAGGACCCCCCTGGCTTCCATAACCTGCTGACCCTGACTCTCCATGCTGATGTCCACCATGACCCTGAGAAGATTCTGAGTGTCTCCTAGAAACTACTGAGTGTTCCTCACCTTCACTGGACTCGGGGTGAACAGGTGTCCCTCTTGGTCTTCTTGAAGGCCATGAATGTGAGGGCTGCTCATGCCCAGACTGAGACTGTCTACTGCTGTCCCTAGATTGTCTCTGAGGACTTTCCTGTCTTTCATGAGCTGCAGACCCAGACTCTCCATGCTGATGTCCACCATGATTCTGAGGAGATCCAGATTGTCTCCTAGAAACTACTGTGTGTTCTTCACTCTCACTGGATTCACTGTGGACAGGTGTCCTTCTAGGTGTTCTTGAACGCCCTGAAGTAGAGGGCTGTTCTTGTCTAGAATGAGGCTGTCTACTGCTGTCTCCAGACTGTCTTTTGGGTGTTCCCTGTCTTCCCTGACCTTTGGAGCTTGACTCTCCATGGTGAATTTCTTCATGTCCATACTCTTGCCCTGAGCCAAATGACTTATTAGAGCCAGAACCATGTCTCCCATATCTAGAAGACTGACTTGGGCCAGACCCATATGGTGATGACTGACCATGTCCATACCCTTGCTGCCCAACGCCAGATGACTGTCCTGAATGAGACTTGTTCTGCCAAGAACTAGATGAGTGACTTGAACCAGATTTATGTTCTCCATACCCAGATGACTCACCTGGGCCAGACTCATACTGCCCAGCACTTGATGACCGACCTGAACCATGCCCATGCCTCCTATAACCCGTTGACTGACCTGAGTGAGACCCATGCTGCCCAGAGCTAGATGACTGACCTGAGAGAGACCCATGTTGCCCAGAGCTAGACGACTGACCTGAGAGAGACCCGTGCTGCCCAGAGCTAGATGACTGACCTGAGAGAGACCCATGTTGCCCAGAGCTAGATGACTGACCTGAGAGAGACCCATGCTGCCCAGAGCTAGATGACTGACCTGAGAGAGACCCATGCTGCCCAGAGCTAGATGACTGACCTGAGAGAGACCCATGCTGCCCAGAGCTAGATGACTGACCTGAGAGAGACCCGTGCTGCCCAGAGCTAGATGACTGACCTGAGAGAGACCCGTGCTGCCCAGAGCTAGATGACTGACCTGAGAGAGACCCGTGCTGCCCAGAGCTAGATGACTGACCTGAGAGAGACCCGTGCTGCCCAGAGCTAGATGACTGACCTGAGAGAGACCCATGCTGCCCAGAGCTAGATGACTGACCTGAGAGAGACCCGTGCTGCCCAGAGCTAGATGACTGACCTGAGAGAGACCCGTGCTGCCCAGAGCTAGATGACTGACCTGAGAGAGACCCATGCTGCCCAGAGCTAGATGACTGACCTGAGAGAGACCCGTGCTGCCCAGAGCTAGACGATTGACCTGAGAGAGACCCGTGCTGCCCAGATTTTGACGACTGACCTGAGAGAGACCCATGTTGCCCAGAGCTAGATGACTGACCTGAACCAGACTCTTGCCTCCCATAACCAGATGACTGACTTGGACCAGATCCATGTTTCCAAGTGCTAGATGACTGACCAGATCCAGATCCCTGTCCCCCATAGCCAGATGACTGACCTGGACCAGACTCATGCTGCCCAGAACTAGATAACTGACCAGAACCAGACCTTTGGTCACTGCAACCAGACAACTGACCTGAACCAGACGCATGCTGCCCATGTTGACCACAACCTGAGGATTGACCTGATGCCGTACCATGCTGGCCACAGCAAGACTGTCCTGATCCATGCCCATGTTGTTTAAAGCCAGAGGACTGTCTTGAATTTGTTCCATGTTGTTCACAGCAGGATGGCTGCCCTGAACCGGACCCATGATGACCACATTTGGAATGTTCATTTGAACAACACCCCTTCTGTTGAGAGCTTGAACAGTGTCCACAGGAACTGCCTCCGTGCTGACCATAACCAGAATGTTGGGTTGCTCCAGATCCGCAGCATGATGAATGATGTGAGCTCATGCTCTGCTGTCTTCCACAGTGCTCTGCATGACCACATCCATATCCTCTCTGACTAGAAGACTGGCTGCAGGATCTAGGTTCAGTTTGACAACATCTAGACGACTGACCTCCAGAGACACGTCCTCCGCTAGTTCCTGATTGACATCTTGACTGGGTAGAGCAAGACTGACTTCCTTGCCTCCCAGATGGACTTGCCTGACAAGAACTTGAAGCACTTTGTGGTCTGCAACATCCACTAGAATTGCTGTGACCACATGCATGACTTTGTGTTTTGCTGTTTTCTGAACTTGCAGAGCTAGGCCCAAGCTTTTGTTCTCCACCCTTTCTTGACTGAGTAGAATTTGATTCATGTTTGCTCTTCTCCAGTCCATGTGACAATCCACTATGACCTTTCCTTCCCTGACTGTTTAACCTAGATCCAGATTCATATTCTTCCCCAGCTTCTCTAGAGGACCTACCGTGTGACTTGTTTCTTTTTTCTTCTAGCTCTTCAGAGCTGGAACCATGCCTCTCTTTGTTACCGCTCCAAGATTGACCAGCGCTAGACCCATGGTGTTTTCTCCTGGGTTCCTCTGAGCTGGATAATTCACTGTGCCTTTCCAACCTCCTAGAGTTGGACCTATGTCGAGGTTTTGCAGTTCCCCATGAGCTCCCAGAACTATGTCCATGCTCCTCTCCCTCACTCCAACTCGAACGTCTGAAACCTGATTTCCGTCTTGGTATCTCTTCTTCTTCTTCTGTTTCACTTTCTTCCTTTCGATTTTGATGACCCTGCCTAGGCTTCTTTGACCCTGAAGCTTTACAGTATTCTTTTCCAAGAACCTTATTGCAGGCCATAGCCAATTTGAACACCATCAGAAGAAACTCAGTGAAATCTAGTCTTCGGTCATGATCTCGATCCAGCATATGCATGATGACATCTACTTTATCTGGATCATCTGGATTCTGAATATGAGAGACACACCAAGGATAACTTGGTTAGCCCAGCTTCATTTTCAACTAAAATAACCCAGTAGCACCTTGTATATATATTGTGTTATATAATTTTAATCTTCTGAGTATTACTTTAGGTTAATGAGACCTAGAATATATGAAAAGTTAATGGAAAAGACTATTGTGATCTGTGAAAGAAGATGACATTGTTCCTTGTTTGTTAAAATAATCAATTAGTTAATTTCTTAGCACTATATTATTTATTTGCTTGGAATGGGAAGCCTGAGTACATGAAAAAGTTGGATTCTTTAAGATGGAAGGGCACAGGAATGTATTGACGAAACATTTGTCTTTAAAATATATATGTTGAGCCGGGCGGTGGTGGCGCACGCCTTTAATCCCAGCACTCGGGAGGCAGAGGCAGGCGGATCTCTGTGAGTTCGAGACCAGCCTGGTCTACAAGAGCTAGTTCCAGGACAGGCTCCAAAACCACAGAGAAACCCTGTCTCGAAAAAACCAATATATATATATATATATATATATATATATATATATATATGTTGATTTAATAGATTTACGATGTCCTGGCTCAAAAGAATATTACTTAGGTTTTCTCAAAATCAGCTGGGGCTGTGCACTTTCCACCAAGCTTGGTCCTAGAACATGTACAGACCCCAACAGCCTTCAGACTTGACACGTACCTTCAGAATTGGGCGAAACTCTTTCTCCAGAAGTTCCTTTAGCTCATCCTTGCTCAGTGTGCCACATTCTCCATCTTGCTTGGTGTATTTGTAGAATATATCAATGACGGTGACAACACTTCTTAAGAGGTCTGTCATCTTTTCCCCCCAAGGTTAAATGAACCTACAGAGAGAGAAAAAACCATAGATAAAGAAAGAGACATAGAGAACTAATTTTCTTTTATTTTAATTTATCAACAGGTCTTATTTTAATATAATGCAGTGGTTTTCAACCTTTCTAATGCTGAGATCCTTTAGTATAGTTCCTCGTGTTGTAGTAACCCTCAAATATGCTTACTTTCATTGCTACTTCATATCTGTAATTTTGTTACTACTTTGAGTCATAGTGTAAATATTTGTAGGATATCCTATGTGTGACCACTGTGAAAGGGTCATGACATATGGGCTGAGAACTGCTGACAAAGTAATTTTTAAAACCTCTTTTCTTTCATCAACCTCAACTGTAAGTATGGCTCAGGATTTTTGTCGCACCAATCAGCACAATAAAAACTTGGGATGATCTCAGGTCTCCATAATATTTATCTTATGAATATATTCTTTTTATGATATTTCTTTGAGTATTTTTGTGTCCTGGGTGTTACTCTGGGCTTCCAAAACTCCCAATACAACAGAGACACCACAGCCCCAGTCTGTCTAGTCTCTTCTGTTTTCTCCTACCCTTTTCTCTTCCTCTCCATGCCTCTCCTTGCCTATTCTTTTATTTTCTGTTTCTTTTGTTTTTTGTTTCTTTCCTGGCATGAGTGTGATACATTCATGTGTTTGCATGAGTGTGTATGCACATTTGTGTTTGAGGACAGATAGGCATATATTTGCATAAATCATCATTCACATTGTTTATATCTTTTCTGTATATGTGAGTGAATTCGTGTGTGTGTGTGTGTGTGTGTGTGTGTGTGTGTGTGTGTGTGTGTGTGTTTGTATGTGCTCATGACAACAGGCACACAGGTACCACAGTACATGCGTGGAGATCAGAGGACAACCTCAGGTGTTGCTCATCACTTTCCACATAGCTTGAGTCATGGTTTCCTTTTTGTGTGTTGTTCATCACTGTGTTGCTGGACTAGCTATGGAACTTTGGGATTTCCCATGTGCATTACTTTATGCGGGATCTGGGCATTTGAGTTTGGGTCTCCTCACTTGTATCATAAGTTCTTTAGACACTGAGCCATTTTCCCAGCCTTCCACCTTATATTCGAGACAAGGTCTCTCAATGAATCTGGAGCTCATTGATTTGGCTGGATTGGCTAGCAAATGAGTTCTACAGAGCCACCTGTTTCTGTCCTTATGTCAGCACTGGCTATAGACACATGCTACCACACCCTGCCTTTCTACAGGGGCTCTGTGTCTGAACGCAGGTCTTTGTGCTCGTATGACAGGCGCTTTACTTGTTCAGAGCTCAGACTCTTTTTTTTCTTTCCTTTTTTCCCCTTTCCTTTCCCTTTCTTCTGTCCTTTTGCTTTCTTTTTGAGACAGGATCTCATGTAGCTCATTCTGGCCTCAAAAAGTTGCTTTGTAGCCAAGCTTGGCAATTGACTCCTAATCTCCCTTCTTCCACCATTCCCAGCTGGGGCAAAAGTAACAGATACCTTAACATTTAAATCCCTTTTGTTCATCAGAAAGCAAACTAGACCCCAAAATACCATGAAGAATTGAAAATGGGCAAAGTGTGTCAATAATATCTTGGTACTGTAGATCCTATAGCTATAATGGCCTTTAGAACAGAAACTGTCAAAACATCAACCCTCAAGAAAACACCAAGTAAACACCGTTCCTTCCAAATGTTACCAATTCAGGTAAGAAGTTGAAAGTGGAGAACTAGATCTCAACACTCTCCAAACCAAAAGTGAACCACAAACAAACTACACCATAATACCCGTCGTTTTCACATGGCGCAGAAAGATGGTGTGTGGTTAAATTAGGGAGAATATGAGATGGCCTAAAACAGTGGTTCTCAATCTTCCCAGAGTTGTGACCCTTTAGTACAGTTCTGCAAGTTGTGGTGACCTCCAGCCACAACATTATTTTTGTTGCTACTCCATAACTATAATTTTTCTGTTGTTATGGATCATAATGTAAATATCTGATATGCAGGATATCTGATATGAGACTCCCATGAGAAGGTTGTTTGACCCCCAAAGGGACCAAGACCCATAGATTGAGAACCTCTGGCCTAGACAAAGACAGACTTCTACTGGATTTATTCTCCTCAATAAAGACATTGATTTCTAAAGACTCAAGTATAAACTAAATTAACCAAACAGACAGCAAACCAAAAATAAAAGAAACAACAACAACAAAAAAAGTAGCAAAATACAGTACTCTCTATGCCTGAGCTCAGACTCGGCTCACAATATCTGGCCCAAGAACACCAAGTACCATACATTTAAATTCTTCTCACCTGATTCACCAAAGGAACAAATAGGATAAGGCCTGATGCAGCTTGCAGGGTGTTGATAGATGGGGACAGTGACCCTTATATAGCTTGGGTGCTGTCTTCTGTGGGATGGACTGATTCATTTCTAATCAAATGTAACTCCACCCCTTGCATGTTTATCTTCCTTCTTCACATTCTCACCTGTAGGATGATTGCAGAGAGGGTGATAATGGCCCCACCTTCCACAATAGAGATATGCTCTGGGACGCTTTCTTGTAGGGTCGCACACAGTGAAATGCAGAGCCTTTGCTGGAGAAGATTAGTTTGTGCAATTGGTTTTCTTTATCTAGTGTTCAAAGAAGATAACAGAGTGAAAATACTTGGCAGGAGCACAGTGAAGTTTTTTTTTTAATTTAAAATAAACCCAGGCCAATAAGCTTGTCCAATTCATGACTATTGCAACATTACACTATCATTTTTTTTGAGAATTTACGGTATTCAGATACTGTGTTGACTATATCTCTCTTGTGTTGTCACATAATATTTGCATGTGTATGTTTTTCCCACATTTCAACTGAAGACACAGATTTAAAAACATTCAAAGTCATAGCTATATGATGGAAAAACCAAGATTTAAACACATAATTCTTATTGTAGTGCTGCTGCTGTAACCATTATGTTAGTTTACCCTTATTATATAGCCATTATGCAAAAATGAATTTGAGGTTTATACCATCTATATACCATTTTAAGAATGCCAGGTCTACTGAACTGCAACTAATATGAAAGGCTAATGTATGAGATGCTGCAAGCCATGAAAAGAAGATCTCTTCTCTGATGCTGTGTAGGCTAACTGGCTATCTAAGTATAGGGTCCATAAATAAAGGTAATGTTTTCATAAGATGAATTTAGAGTAAGACTTCTTCCAGTGCCCTACTATACACTGGTAGTCTGGTATCTTTAGGCCTAGTCTCTTGGGAAAGTGTATGTAATATTGCATATCATGTGTGTTTAAAGGCAACAAAATAATCCAAAAACTGTATTAGGCATAGTGAATCATCTCGTCTGTACTCGCCACCAGGCAATGGTGACACCATTAATTGATTACTGTCTTCTGTTTTGCCTACTTATCTATTTTATTTCTCATGTAAACTTGTAAGGTGAATGCTATTGTCACCCCTTTACAGATAATGTAATGAAAGGATAAATAAAATTTAAACCATACTAGAATCACGGCAGTATCAGAAGCAAAAGTTACTCACTCTACTGGATGCTTAAGCCTGGCCTTTAGTTGCAAATTCACCAAATCTGGGGTCTGTCATCTCCTGCCTGGGTACTGCTTTGGTGACAATTATCATCCAGACAGTCCCTAGAGCTTGGGAAGCACATAGAATGAATACCTGTTCACAGACATGCTAATGAATTTGCTCCTGAAAGACTCCACTGCTCCTATAGCCATGGGACTCCTAAACTAATAGGGCCACAGAAAGTTAGGTTTTCCCCGTGATAGTCGGTCATGTGACTCTTTTAAAATTGTGTTTCTTTTTGTAAAAGTGACTGTGTCAGGAAGATTTCGGGGCCTCACATCCATACTGGATTAAGCATTTAAAACCAGCCTTGCACTGAATTCCAGAATTCATCTAGAACTGGGGAAGTCTTCCATAGCCTGCTGTCTCTCGGAACTTCTCCAGTTCATTGTTCTGTATCCTTGGTGTTCAGTCTCTCTTCCTTGTCTTACTTTCTTAGCATGAAATTATAATCTCTGTAGTCAGAAAACTGAAGTTCAGAAAACTGGAGTTCAGCTTTCAGCTCCACCTTTTACTAGCTGTGGTTTTTGAGTAACTATAAATTCTCTTGGCTTCTGCTTCCCAACTTAAAGCACTTACTTGCTCACTGATGGGGGTGACATGTGGCCTACAGTAACTACCTACTTAGCTACACAAGATCATTTGGTTTAAGTATTTCATGCCCTCCAATGCATTTTATACACAAGAATTGATTTTTAAAAATGAGGTAGAGGTCAGTAATAGGACCTGAAAAGGCCTTTTTCAAAAGCATTGTACAGAAGGTAAGTCCTGACTTTTAAACATATAACATATCTATTGAGATATACCCTTGGGCAGTCTCCATGAACTTCGCACCACTTAAGTTCCCTTTCTTGATAACCACCAAATGTTACTACTGTCTGGTTATGAGTGGACATGTCAGGCCATCAGAGCAACAATCTGGAACAAGCATTGTTCCTACCCAACAAGGACTTAAGTGCCTTCTGACAAGGAACAAATTTCTGGTAGTTTTGGGCATAAAGGTGGTTGTGGTGATATCTGCAGAGACTCTTGCTTACCAAACTTCAAAAAGTTATAGTCTGAGGAAGCAGAAGCGTGGGGCCCCAAGCAGGGCAGTCTCTGGCATCCTTTCCTCTGTACCTGGGCCTTCTTCCTCCCCATTTTCTCATCACCCTCTGCTTACCCATCCATATCCACCCTGCTCTGGGTTGTCAGGGGCCATTTGGTGAAGCTCATGTGCTATTGGCCACTGCATACACACCTTAAACTATTAAAACAAACTTTGCATGTGTGGAAGTCCCCGGTTTTAGTTTTAATTTGTTCCCACATGCAATCCTTCTATGGAGTGGCTTTATTAAAATTAAAGCCAACTTTTTTTTGTCATGTTGTCATGTTCAAATTGAGATCTTGCTATAGGA